CGGGGCCGGGCGGTGCGGCCTGGCGGCCGGCCGCGGAGCCGTCCCGGGCAGCTCCTCTGGTAAGGACCATCGCCAGTCTAAACAGGCATTTAGTACGTACGTATACCCTTTTTAAGTACCTAATTCAGTCTGTCTGTAGGTAGACAGATCTGTACTGTCTGACTTCTAGACGCCGAGCAGGGCAAAACGTACGTAGTACCGCCGAGACAAAACTAGCTTTAATTGGGTTATTAGACATCGTTTCAGATAGCAGGCAGGCTTTGAGGCTTTTTAGGCAATTCATAGATGAACAGCTACATTAGGCCAAGCAGCACTTATTCAGGGGTTCGGGTAATGAAAACAACTGACAGCTGAAGGAGACCTACGGAAATTCTCTGTTGTCGGTGCGTCAGAGAAGCTCCCTCCATGCAGGCAGCAGTGCCCAAGTGTAGGGACTGCAGAGCATTTTCTTCGTACTCGATAGCCCAGACACAGTGGAATGACAGAGCTTTCCCATTTTTCAGTTAACACTGCAGTATGTTCTTAAGAAACAACAGAAGTTTCTTCTGGTAACACCTACAAAACACCTGTTTTTAAAGTATTTCTCAGCTTAGGCTTATAAATAAGCACATAAAATGACAAAAGATGTCTAAGAAAAACAAAGTCTTAGCAACATAACATTTAGTTTGGCATTTTTCCACTTGTCCTTCTAATGCTTCCTTTCCTTTACAATCACCTACTTTGTTTTTTCATGACAAAGTTTCAGCAGATATGAATTTGCAGCCGGAGGTTTTCAAATACTTGTTAACTATTTGATATTTAAGATTTTTTTTCTGGGTATGATGACTTTGGTTGTTCACTCCCCCCTTTCCACCAGTTCGCCCCCCCCCCCCCCCAAGAAAACTACAACACACCAATGCATTTCTTTAATGCTTTAGTCATTGAAATGGAACAAGTAAATTAGTTGTAAGGAAAAATATTCAAATATAAATTTGGTAAAGTACATTCTCCTCACAGAGGACTAACCGCGTGCCACAAACCTGTGTGCAAAAGAGAGCCTATGAACAATTTTTAGAGCACGGAAGCATACCCTAGGGCAGAGGATTAATATCGGAAGTTTCAACCCCAAAAGATAATATAAGCTCTGGAAAACAGAAGCGCTAACTACAGTTGTCTTGTCAGTCATAGTTGTACATCACTACCCCAAAGCTATTACAAAAGCTCTATTAGGCTTCCAATTAATATGACTAATCCTTAGCAGGCAGAAGCCAATATAGCTCTACCAAAGTCACTGGAATCTGTGACTTTGTGAGAACTGATGTACCCCTAAATGTGGCTCCAAAAAAGCTACAGCATGTACTTGTCACAAAAGCATGGCAGAATAATGGCAAGATTATTTAAATAAAGATGCACAAACACTGAATAATACAAGAATACAAAAAGTATGAACGTCACAGAACGTTAGTTCAACAGTACTGGTATTTCTAACCAACTGTAATTTTTAAAAAGTCTACCATTCAGTACATACTCGAAAAGTTACAGCAGAACAATAGATTTATAAAGAGATTTGTACCAGTTTTTAATTAGAAAATACAAGTTATATCTTCCAGTTTGTATTAGTCTTAGCAAATTTCATACAGCCTTTGGTTTCAAACCAATACAATGCAGTTAACATTACAGTGCTTGCTTAGTATTCATTAGGAGAGGACGCTGTACAATTGAGGGAGAATATGTGAAAAACAGGAGTACCAAAGTACTGTATTATAGAAAGTAAAGGCTGAAGCAAAAATACTCTTGGGTATATCCTGTACATCATGTAAACACGCAGAGTAGTAAACAGGCTAAAATGTCTTCCAAGCCTCCCAAACAGCTACAATATAGCATACATATACATATATATATATAGCATATATAACATCATCTTTAGGAAATGTAGCCCATTTTATCCTAATTCTGTGCTTAACTCATTTGCGATTCAGACAATACATTCATTATTAGCAGTACATCTCATGTATTATTTGGAGTTTGCTGGTTGCCATAGACAAGGACAGATCAAATAACACTGAGCCTTGCTTTTAACTCAGATACTGTGACTATATAAGCAATGGTCAACTGTTCAAGAAACATCTTTCTTCTTACCAAAGCTGAAAATTTTCAGATTTATGTATAGCAAATCAAGCTGAAATTCTGTTCTTTGCAGAACAGTAGTTTTCCAATTATTTTTCATTAATTGGGTAAAGCAAGTAGTTAGCTTCTATTTTAAAAAGGAGATATGAAAATTATCAGTAAGCACACACAAAAACAGATTACTACTTGTATATATAACATTCAGTCTCTATTTTTAGAGTTTTGGATAACACAACACTTTGAAAAGAGACCAAATATTCTGAACGTTGTAAGAAGCAACTTACTTGCTCATCTACAACAAAAAAGAAAGTGAAATAAGAAACTTTTTTGTTATTTATCCAAGTGGCTTCTAATAGCATTCTGATATATGCAAATCCACTGTAGCAAAATGTTATAGAGTAGTAGTAGCATGAATTAGATATTAGTGGAAGAAATTAAGCTTAAGATGTTTGTGATTATGTTTTTAAGAAAGGTCTCCGTGCCTCATACTAAGAATTCCTTCTAGCATTAAACCTTCCTCACATCTGGGTAAATCACGACTGACTATCTTTCTTCAAAGCTTCTAGTCTTTGTAGTAATGCATTTCCAAACACCTCTCGATATGCAGGGCTGAGAGAGTCCAATAAGGAGTAGACAGTTTCGTGGTATGGAGTTTGCAACCCGTCATCAGTCTGATCAAAATCATAAGCTACTACCTGCAACAAAGAAATCACTGGTTAAATTTCTGTGGTTAGAATCACCTTGCAATGGGAAACAGATATCACAACATTTAACTTTGCCAGCCAGGGTAATACAGTGAGAACAAAAGATACTGGATTTAAATCGCAATCTGTGCTTTCTACTACGGGGCTTAGTGGTAATACAGTATTTAGACAGTTTCAAATACCTTTTGTCCAAAACTCAGAATATTAGTAAAATCTATCATTATGACCTTTGAAAAGAAGCCTTACATCTACATGTTTGCACAAAAAATACAGATGTTGCAAAAAGGAGTTGTATACATGCTGTATTACTGACTAATCTGGGTACCCAAGAAACCCAAAGGCTGACATGCCTGCAACAAATTGCTGCTTCAATCTTCATGATTTTGTCTCAAATAAATGTCTGGTTTTTCATCAACTTCCCCTCTTGCTTTGTTGGAAGTATAACTAGTTAAAGTTCCACTTTCTAGGTGAAAACATGTAGAACGGGCTTTCATAAAAGTACAAGAGGAATACGTATGCTGTTTTGGTGTCACTGAAGTATTTTTCTAGGCACCTTTTGAACACGATCATTGTTCAAAATAAAGAGGCTTAAGAAATTATAAACAAATTAGTTTACCCTGAGTCCTGCTTCGGTGAGCTCCAGGCAGTATCTGTTCCTTTCCCTGGTTTCCACATTGATATATGCCACATCCTCTGCACAGGGAAGGGTTTTGGAGACAAACATGTTGCTGACAGCAAACAGAACATCATTCACAACAGCTTCGGCTTCTAGTCTCATGTCTTTCACATCTGTTCCTTCGAAGTCTCTATAATCAGAATCCCCTTCAAATCCCGTATTATTGGACAACTCCATAGGATTGCAGTCAGTCTCCATTCTGCATACAGAAACATTTATTTTAGATTTGTCATACCACTACACTCAATATATATTAACACCATAAAACCAGAGTTTCTTAAGCAGACATATTTAACATTGTCCAAAAAAAAAGGAAAATATGAGACCCAGTGACTTCCATAACTCATGAAGTGACAGTCCAGAGAACTCAAAACCAAGGTGTGAGAACAACGGCTTAAGAAGGTTACATTAGCACATAGAAGCAGAATCCGTATTGCTGAAGTTGCTTCTTCTTATGCAAGTAACTCGCATTCTGTTGTATAAGACTCTGTTATGATTCAGCAGTCATTAATTCTGCACTTTGCTGATCCAGAATGCAGTAGGAAGACAAGTCATGCCTGGAAAAACTGAAATCAATAGCTGTAGAAAAAAACCCCCTATTGTTGGTGAATTTAAGAAAGACTTTGAAAAGTCTGTGGACTAAATGGGTTATCAGAGACTATAGAGACATATTAACAGCAGCTTTTTGTTTACACTCACTGAAGAACAATTCTCGTTTAGCTTTAGCGTTTACGCACAATTGTCAACACATTTCAGAGACACATATAGCTGGCCTTTGTAAGCAACCGTTACCAAACCGGGACAGGCTCCAGCCTGTGGGTGTTACCACAGCGGCTCCAGCGTTTGCTTCTCAGACACCAGTATCGCCAGGAAGCCTCAGCTAACTTACATCCACAGGGAGCCCCCCGTAAGGCCAGCTGGGAAAGCCCCTTGGGACGCTGCCCCGAGTGCTCTGGTAGCCGAGCACCGCTGCCAGGACGGAACGAGGGCTGGCAGTAACCGACCTGCAACACGCAAGGCATTCGCTCCGTTAAGATTCATCCCTTCCTGACAAATCCCACCTCGGACCTACACACAAATTCCAAAGGAGCTGAAGGCAACAAGGGAGCTGGCTACCGAGCGGCGCAGCCTCCCAACGGCAGCCAGTCACTCCGGTTTACTGACAGCGAAGCAGCCACGGGTCACACCGGCGCCTCCGCCCCGAGCAGCGCGGCAGGAGCGGGGCGCCACCCCCCCACCCCCGGCAGCGCCGCGCCCCGGGGGCCGCCCCGGGAGCCCACCTACCAGCCCCGGCGGCGGGCCTCCCGACCCCGAGCGGCTCCGGACACAAGGGCGCCTGCCGCTCCGCCCTGCCGGCGGAGAGCGACCCGCCTTGCTGCCTCCCCCGGGGCCGTTC